GTATTTTCTCACAATCTTTTTCCTTGCTAAGAAACCTAAAAAATCAATACATGCCTCTCTTGGGCGAAGTCTAATGTTTTAAATAGGGTTTAGGTCTAAAAATCCCGTAATTGACACTTTGGTCCCTGAAGTTTCTGCGCCTGCCGCGGTTCTGCCGCGGTCGCGGTAGAACCGCGGCCAAACACCCTCGCGGAATCTCTGAACTTCTGCAGCTGCTTCCCACCGCGGTTCTGCCGCGGTCGCGGTGGAACCGCGGTGGATCCAGTTCTCTGAATTTTCGGCCTGTTTTTGCACGGGTCACTTAGGAAATTTTACAGTTGGCCTCTTTTTCATCACTTTTGACTCCAAAACTGCTCCTTAGCCGTCTTTATACATATATCACCTACAAATCATGAAAAGCACTAATAAGAGCATTTTGTCATCACTTTTAGCATTAAAACTACACAAGAAGATGATTATTTAAGGTGTGATTATAGTCTAATTCACCTATTATCACCCATATATGAATATACTTAACGAATACATGCATGTGATCCAGAGTTTAGCAACGTGCCATGAGTATAACCAAATAGATTTTAATCATGATTAAGGAAGAATCAAATCCATCTTAATTAAAATTGTGGTTAATTAAGCTAACACATCAGTGAGTTCTTTTTTTTTTAAAAAAAAAAAATTAAAGAAGCCATAAATCTACGTATAGAATCTGCCAATGGGTAGCCATGTGCTCATTGAGTTACTCTAATAAGTCACAGTGTACTCTTTTTCTCTTATTTCTGCAACTATGTACTAGTAGTGAGTTGTAAATGTGAGCACATCACATATTTAATTATTATATGAAATCATATTAGAGGCAGTCCTGTAAACAAGTTATCTCATCAGTCATCAATTAATTTGCGTTGCTCAGCAATGACTAAGACTGAGGAATAATTAGTTATATCTATAGATTTTATAACTACTTTGGTAGTACCCTAATGATCTTGAATCTTAGAAAGATAATTAAGAAATCCTCGTTTGTCTAGCATTGAAAATTTAGGCAGAGAGAATCCTTTCTTGTCTAATGTCTCACCATTGTCCCCCCAATCCCCTCCCTCCTAGGGCAAACCACCCCTCCCTTCCCAAAATGCACTTACTTCTCTCTTTTGGAGAATATTAATTAGGTTGGTGCTGTAATATAGGAGTAGTTAAAATTTCTGAATTTTGAACATTAAACAAAGAAAATTTATTCACAAGATAATCTAATAAGTATAATTTTTGGATTATCTTTACATATAACATGTATAAAAAAAATTGTTTTTACCCTATTCATGCCGTATAATTTGTATCAAAAAGAATCCAATTGAACCTCTTTTAAACCATATAATTCCACCCCCGTTGGAGGGAGGGAGTAGGAGTGTTTGGGAGTATTTTCCTCGAATTTTATGGATTCCATGCAAGTAGGGAAGATAACTAAGAGCATGAGAGAGCCAGGGGCGGATGCTCTATATATAGAACCACCGAGTTCAACTAAACCAGTATTTTTGATGCGGGGATCATAAATTTTATGTTTAAAAAATTGCTAAAATTACAATAAATGATATGTATGAACCCATAACTTTTACTGCTATGCCCATTGAACTAAAATCCTAAATTCGCTTCTGGAGAGTGCAAGTGATAAAAATTAAGGGGGAAAAGATCATTTCCTTTTAAAAGGAAATTAGAAAAACATGTGGTGGGTCAAAGTTAATCACAAGGGCAAAGGACTCTCCTTTATCACCGAGTTAGCATACGTCCACAAGCAACTGTTATATTTCCTCGAAGAAGAATATTTTTAAATAAATCAAACCCCTATGCTTTGAATGCTTCTTTACTTGGCAAAAGTATGACGAAAATCGTTGACTATCTTGGGGGTCAAGTACCACCCATTAAAAGAAGAAGAAGAAAAAAAGGAAAAAATAAGCTTGAACAAAAAATAATAATAGTACTATAATTGTTTCCGTTATACTTTTATATATTGGTTGTGTTAGATCATCTAAAATGTAACTACAAGTAATCGTTCACAATAATTAATTAAGTAACCTAAAATATAATGCAAATTATTGCTACAAAATGTTAAATTATCAACGTATATAAGTTGAACATATCAATTACTTCCTCTGTCCCAATTTATATAATGCACTTTGAATTTTAAAATTCCAATGAGTTATTTTTGTACCGTATTTTTTATTTAACTTTTAAATTTTTAAAATCTTAATTATTGCAACTTATAGCAATTTTATTATAGTTTTTAAATATGTAAATCTTATTTTTAAAAAAGTTAAATGAACATATGTCAAATTTTCGTGATCAAATTATCTTCGAACCAAACTTCACTCAAATTATATTTTTTAAATTAAATTTAGGAATTTATGGCCAAACCCTAGCTAAGAAATTTGACTCTCAAAGTGTAAACAACAATCACAATAAATTGAGAGGAAGGTCACTCTTCAAGTTCCTACGAGCATGCAGTTGGAGACAAGTGTTTACTTGAAGTGTGGATCACATAGTATATATTTTTGCATAGAGTTACTAAACTGTAATTATAGTGAAACAGTCAGCATCATGTGTGTGTCTTTAGATACAAAGACCTTGTCAAGTGCTATATTAGGATAATTTAATGAAGAAAACGAGAGAATTATTGGGTGCCTTAAAACGTGGAGGAATAAACAGAAATAATACTAATACTACACCTATTTGCGTAAATAATTTTCCAAAAAACAAAATTGTACATTTATAACAAACTTATTATTACTAGTGTCTGTTTTGTATGTACCTCAAATATATATAGGGTCTTCAAGCGGTCAAAGGTCGTTTGTAGCCTTGGAAATTTTAATTACGTATCCATAATAGTCAACATGCAAGTTATGGTATTTATGGTAGTGGAATTAGCCTGACCTCAATATTTTATTATTATTCTAGAAATATATGTTGAGTGAGATTTTCTACCAGTTGGTGTTATCAAAATTTGACCAATTACCGAACTTGGACCACACCTATTCAAATATCAACTGTCAAAATCTATTAGTAATATTTTACATAAATATATTTATATACTCCATATTAAAAATGTTTGATTTGATTGAATCCGCAACAGACATGATATTACCATATACCAAAAATAAAGTAATGCATGGTGAGTGATTACAAACACAAGTCTAGATCAATGTTTTGTTTGGTGTGTACAGTGGAGAGATTGGAGATGTGATCTCCTGCTCCATGATCCTGGAAGATTACACAAGTACAAGCTCAATGATTATAAACAAGAAAAAGTTAAAAGATTAAAAAATAAAATTATTGATTCGATTGACAAGTCATTTTTAAGGTACAAAAGGAGTGGTTCCGAGTTAATTACACTAGTAGGTAATAATAATGGGGTCAATTTTTATCTAACAGGACTTGAGATTACTAAGAGGTCGTTTGGCCGGAGCGGTAAAAATAATGTTGAATAGGGTGTATTAATAATGTTGAAATTAGTTATACTGACACTAGTTATAATAAGATGATTTGATATTCACTGTTTGGTTTGATGTATTAAAACGTTGCATAATTTCTTAAAAGTTTAGTTGTTTATAAGAATACCCTCACGTTTTTTTAATTTTGAGAAATAATTATGTCTTTAACCATACTTATGCAAATATAAAAAATCATTGTCAATACGATGGCTTGTTATGTATTAGTTATACCAAATATGATGAATAATTAATAAAAGTGTTAATTATACAAAAATAATACAAAGCATTAGCTCCGTGCCTTACTAATTTCTTGTTTGATAATAACTCCTACCAAACGACCCCTAAATAAACACTCCACGTTAAAGAGAAGAAAACATAAAGTATAAGGGAGGGAGCAAAAAGGCTGAGTGTCAGTATGGCGTGCATAACATAGCAAATTGGGTGTCTTAATCACTACAAACTGAAAAAAAAATAGTCTCCCACTTTGCCCTTAAAAATCAGAGTGAAAATACAGGAAAAAATAAACTTTAGTAAAAGAAGCAACAAGAATAGGAAAATTAAACAAAAAAAAAATACTCTCAAATATGCTGCTTTTTTTAGTTTGTCCTTGATAAGAAATAGTAAAATAGAAAATTCTGATACCAAAAAGTTGTTTGTGCTGATTCTAGCAAAACTGGTAAGCACATACTAGCAAATCTTTGCTTTTTGGGCTATTTTGTTCTGCATTTCTTGTACTTCTTTTTCCTCAGCTACTGGAAACAGTATATTACAACTCATTTTCTTGATGCTCCTCACGTTATTATGGTGGCTTTATTTCTGCTTTGTTGGTTTCTGTGTGTTCTTTTTTTTCCCCTCACACTTCTGCATGTGGGGTTTTAGATTTTTTCGTTTAAACTTCTGTAAAAAATAGTTCTTGAACAAGTTTTGGAATGATATTTTTGTAGGTATTTTTCCTTTTGCTTTGATATTAGTCTATTTGAAGTAAATTTCTTGTGTTTCTACATATGGGGTTTCATGTAAATAGCAAGTCTTTGGTTTTGTTGGGTGTTTACAAAGTAAGTGGCTTTTGGGTTGTGTCTTTCAAATGCATAGTTAAACACAATGAGAGTTCTTTGATTTTTATACAATTTTTTACTGGCTAGATTTCTGCTCTCTGAGATGATTCTTTTTGCTTCCACAGATATTATTCGTAGCTGATGTTTGATTTTGTCTTTGAATAATATATTTTTTTAATCTATGCTTCTATTTATTCTTGTGATCTTCTCATTAATTTTATGTTCTTTTTCAGCTTTGCAAAACTATAAAAGATAGATGCTTGTTGTCTCCTGTTTAGGTGGTTCCTTCAACTGATACCGAGATGCTGTTTTCTGTTGCAGGTTCTTCAAATCTCCCAATTTTCAATTAAAATAACAATAATATTTTACATTTTCTGGATTTACATGTGATTTCTGGTTGAAAGTTTGGATCTTTTAAAGACCCCATTTTTTAGTTTCTCTCTTCTGTGTGGCCTGAAACTCAAAGCTTTTATCTTTTTCTATATATATGTATTTTATATATATTAAAAAAGAAACCATTTTGTGGAAGAAACAGGGAAAGAGTAAAGTGAGTGTGTGTATGTGTGAGAGAGAGAAAGAGTAAAGTAGTACGTATTAAAGAAAGAGTGAGAAAGATGGATGCTAGTGTGTGTGTGTGTGTGTGTGAATAATTTAGTGAAAAGAGTCAGTTGTTTATGTCTCCTGGGCTGAAAGGAGGCTCCGGGGTCAGTGGGCTTTGCCGCCGACCAAGGAAACAATCTCTTAACTTATGGTTCTCTTCCCATTTAAGTGAACGCTCAATTCTTTCTTTAAATTAAACAAACTACACTTAACCATTTTCTTCTTCTTCTCTTTCTCCTAAGTTATCTCCTCCTGCTTTTGTTTACTTTCAAGATTCGGTCATACTAAGCAAATACTATATCTTTGAGATCCCATTTAACCTTTTCTCTATCTCTTGAAGTTGAGGAAGTTGGTTATATTCAGTAATTTGGTCCCCACCATCTGGATTCTTTCATTTTTACCATTTTTGGAGTCCTTATTGACCTTGGTTTCAGGTTATGTTTGAGCATTGGGAATATCAGGTTATGAACACAGGGTACTGTTTGATTTTTTTTACAGTGATTAGTTGAGTAGTAAAGAAGTATAATTTCTCAAGTGTGAACAAGAAGAAGCAGAGATCCCTTGAGTTGCCAAGATGAAGTTCATGAAACTTGGATCCAAGCCTGATACCTTTCAGTCAGATGGGAACAATATCAGGTCAGATCTTTTGCTAGTTTTTTTATTTTTTTTAATTTTTGGGGAAAAAACTTCTTTTCCTTGATGAAATGGTCATTCATAGCTGTTTTGCTTTGCAGAATTGTAACTGATCTTTTCATGTTGATAAGAAAATTAAGTAGTATTTCCCATTTTTTGTGTATCTGGTGTCACTTGTCAATAATTGGCATCCATTTACTTGTGGTCTGTCCTGTATTAGTGTATTTATTTATTTTTTTTGGGGTGGGGTGGGGTGTGGGAGTAGTTATATGTGCTTTTAGAAATTGGTTTGAGGGATTATATTTGTTGATTTTTGCTTATCCCTAATTCATCTTTTCCTAAAAACTATTCTATGACTTTGGTTTTATTACTGTTTAATTTCCATTTTTTATATTACTTAGGGCAGCAGGAGAAGTCAAACCCTGGATAGAATTTTGGGAAATTTATCGCTATGCGTTTATACGCTAACAGGATGGTGTTTTCTAGAGATTGACCTTCTGTTGTGAATCTTTCACCTAACAAAAGATGGTCAAATAAAAGGTTGTTCCCCCCAAAAAAAAATGGTTTTCAGCCATCTGGAGTTTCCAGTTCAACATTGCATGCCATATTTTTCATTAAATATTTCTCTTCTTGGTCTCAGCTATTGATTTCAAAAGCATTATACCTTGTTCTCCGAATAGAGAATCACCAAGTTGGATGTCAGTAATAGTTGAATCGCGAGTTGGCTGTGCCAAATTTCATAATGCAAGTTCTATTAAATCTAAAAATAAAATATTAAAATAAAAAATCATAGTTCAAGTTCTTTGTATCAGTAGTCGGCATAAGCATTACCATAAAATAATAGTCGGTGTGGTAATATTAGCACAAACATATATTAAGAGTAGTAATAACTATTTCTAAGAGTAAAGGATTTGTTCACTTTATGATAGGGACAGGTAAAACTATTTCATTTTTCGCTCTGCTTTTAGGAAGCTGAATTATGTCAACAAGTTGAAGCCTAATCAGTTTTGGTCTGATGACCCATACATGAATGATGCAACCTCGCTTACTTCATTTTATGTCTTGGCCTGACGGATGAGGGTCATCAAACCTTATTTCTGCCAAAGAACTAAGCGGAAATATGTACCTTCTAGTGAGTTTCAAAAGAGAAGATTAGTGTTCTTTTACTTGAATGAGTTAGAATAACAGTATGGAAGCGAAAGGCTGGATGAAGTGGACTTTTTTTTTTTTTTTTGAATCACTGTTATTCAACTTGTAGGAACCACAGCATTGCAGCATGAGTACAATCATCAAGTCTTTTCCAGTTTCTCTGTTCTCAATATGTTAGTATTGGGATATCTGTGACTACTATCTGTGTAGATATGGTTATAGCCCTTAATTACCTTAACAATGTTATTGTTTTATATCTATTTAGACTCGTTTCGATTGTACTGACATATTTTTGATGCAGATATGTTGCTTCGGAGTTGGCCTCTGACATCACGGTTAATGTCGGAGATGTAAAGTTTTACTTGCACAAGGTACAATAATTTAACAAGTACAGTATTCTCCTTGTTCAAGCTTTATTTTAGAAAAGGATGCCAGCTGGACTTGAGAAAATGAATTATTAAGCACGCATTAATCTTGTTTGGCTTTTCTTTTTTCTTCCCTTTTTGATGTATCTTCTAGGGTCAGGGAGTGTAACTACATGGAATGATGGTACAATCCCTTCTTGAGGAGTAAAAGGGATCCTTTTCTCCTGAAGTTGGGAGGTCCAAATCTAGTAAAGCTTCTGGTTACTAGTTCTTTATCCTCCACCCACATTCTAATTGAGATGAATATGTTTTCTACGTCGGTACATGAGCCTCGAGTGTAAAAGTCACCTTCAAAAACTTTTTGGTACTTATGATCTACTTGGACTGATAAGTATCGCAGTAGCAGTTGTTCAGCATTCCCATAAGTGGTGTTGTATTGTATGAATAAATTTCTGATGCTAATCTTCTTGAAACAATTGTTTAAACTACTTTTCATCTTTGAAGTATCCTAAGCAATGGAAATGTCTTATTTTACCTCCTTGACTTGTTGAGTTGGCCATAATTGAACTCTGAGTACTCATTCTTTGCTGAAAATGGCTATGCAGTTTCCTCTTCTGTCCAAGAGTACCTCTTTGCAAAAGCTGGTTGCTAATGCAAGTGAAGCAAATTGTGATGAAGTTCACATTCATGACATTCCTGGAGGACCTACTGCCTTTGAAATATGTGCCAAGTTTTGTTACGGCATGACTGTTACACTGAATGCTTATAATGTCATTGCAGCAAGGTGTGCTGCTGAGTATCTGGGTATGCATGAAGCTATTGAGAAAGGAAACCTTATTTACAAGATTGATGTTTTCCTGAACTCGAGCATTTTCCGGAGCTGGAAAGATTCAATAATAGTTCTTCAAACTACTAAGTCTCAGTCACGTTTGTGTGAAGAACTGAAGTTGATCAGCCACTGCATTGATGCTATAGCATCCAAGGCTTCCATTAATGTTGACAGAGTGGATTGGTCCTATACATATAACCGGAAAAAGCTTCCAGAGGAGAACGTAAATGATCCTAACTTGAACGGTATTAGAAGCCGCTTGGTGCCGAAAGATTGGTGGGTTGAGGACTTAAGTGAGCTTGAAGTTGATTTATATAAGCGGGTAATTCTCACCATTAAAAACAAAGGCATTGTTTCTTCTGAAGTAATTGGAGAAGCTGTGAAAGCTTACGCTTATAGAAGGTTTCCAGGCTTTAATAAAGGTGTCTTCCAGTTCAATGATGTCTCCAAATGTCGTGCAATATTGGATACAATTGTATGGCTATTGCCCTCTGAGAAAGGTTGTGTCTCTTGTAGTTTCTTGTTAAAATTGCTGAGAGCATCAATTTCACTTGATTCTGGAGAAATGGCAAAGGCAGAACTAGTTAAAAGAATAGGGCAGCAATTGGAGGAGGCTTCTGTAAATGATCTTTTGATTCGCGCGGCAGATGGGGAAGGAACCATGTATGATGTCCATGTCGTCCAGAAAATACTAGAAGTGTTTATGATGCGAGATAAGGATTCTGAACCTCAGCTAGAAGATGGAGATGAAATTCAGGAGATCCGAAAGCCAGGGATTTTATCGGAAGCTTCAAAACTGATGGTGGCAAAGTTAGTAGATGGATACCTTACTGAAATTGCGAAAGATCCTAATCTCTCTTTGTCAGCATTTGTTGGTCTAGCAGAGATGGTATCCAATTTCCCTCGACCAGGTCATGATGGTATCTATCGCGCAATTGATATGTACCTTAAGGTGAGCGTGTCTTGAATTCTGCATAAAGTTGCATAGTTGAAATAAATCTCTTGAATTCTGCATACAATTGCATAGTTGAGTTACTAGCTGATATCTTTCCCGTCACTCGTGATTAGAATTTCAACACTGACATGGGAAAAGAACGTCTGCATCTATGCTATCTCAAAATATATAATTTATGCAAATACATTAGTTCTTAGGCTTGGAGCTATGTTCGTATATACAGTGTTAATGCTTTTAGGATGGTTAGTTTAGTCGTTTTCTTATGGAAAGAACCACACCTATCAAAACTGCAGCAAATTAAAGGCAGTGCATACAAACAGATGGTATTGGGAGTAAAAGTGATGCTACTCTTATTAATGAATGCCTTGTATGTACTTATCGAACTCTGTTGTTGGTGTAGGAGCACCCTGGAATCAGCAAGAGTGAGAGGAAGAGAATTTGTAAGCTGATGGACTGCAAGAAGCTCTCCGTGGATGCTTGTATGCATGCTGTGCAAAACGAGAGGCTTCCCCTTCGTGTTGTTGTACAAGTGCTCTTTTTCGAGCAAGTCAGGGCTAATGCCTCGTCTGGTAGCAGTACTCCGGATCTGCCCAAAGCAATTAGGGAACTTAACAGTGCTTCATATGGAAGTTCAAGATCTGCAACAACTAATACAGAAGAAGATTGGGATGCTGCAGCCTCTGCAGAAGAACTCAGAGCCTTGAGAGGAGAGCTTGCAGCCTTAAGAATGGGAAATGGAGGAACAAACGACAAAGTTAATGGCGACGCCAAGAGCCATGCAGACAGGGCTGCCATGAGTAGAATGAAAGGTTTGCTCATGTCGAAGAGGATCTTCTCGAAAATCTGGTCGAACAAAGGGGGACAAGGGGAGAATAGTGGCTCAGATTCGTCCGAGAGTCTTGGATCTGCTAACTTGGAAGAAGCTAAGTCTACACCTTCAAGAAAAGGAAGGCATTCAGTTTCTTAGTTCTAACAGCTTAAGGAATGCACTCTTGGTGGCTTTTTTTGATGAGTTTTTCTTAATTGATATTAGCATGTCAAAAAGACTAGTCATCTTTCTCTGAAGTCCTCTAGAAGAAAATGAAGGATATAGTTTGACAAAAGAGTTTGTAGGAGGAAATGAAGCCTCTTATGGGCAGACAAACAGAAGTTTATTGTATAGATGTTCTAACATTTAGTTGTCCATGCGAAAAAATAGGTGGCTCTTTAATTTTAGAACTCTTAAGGTATGCTAGTATCATAAGAAATGTTACTGTGAATTTAATTAGGCTTATGCATGAAATGCAGTGTAAGCACTCAAATGTGTAGTTTTTGAACACTGTCTTCCTCCACAAAGAAATGATGAATGGTAAAGGTAAGTTTATTTTATAACACTGTACAATGCAAGTTGCTATTTGTTCTGTTTTTTTTTTTTTTTTTTGCTTTTTTGGGTTTTAATCATTCTGTATCTTGTATTTACTTATTTGACTAATTTATAGACTATGGTAGGGAACACTAAGGGCAAACATTAGTTCTCAATTCAAGTTGCGTATGTCTCGTAAGCTATAATCACTCTCTAAATTACAATACTGCTGCTTCAAATTATAGTCCTTATATGCTCTTCCACTTTTCATGGTCAGCAACTAAACTCTTCATCAAGCTACACGATTGAACTGTCTGACAATTTATTACAACTCATGAAAATCATCTGATATTCATTTTTTATTAAAAAGAAAAAATCAAGGGTTTGAAACTCAAATTGGCTTTTAAGCTGAGTAAGCTGTTAGAACACAAACCAGCTTCTTTGGGCCAGCATCTGGACCTAAGACTAAAAAGGAAAAATGACACGGTATAGCCACTCTTAAAATAATAGCCGAAATATATATATACATTCGGTATGTCATAATAAAATTTAAACAAATTTTATATACTTTTTCGGTTACCGAATATAAATAATTTCTGGAACGGGTTAAAATTGACAATATCCTGACTAAAAAGATGTACAATAATATTGTTCTATCACCTGCACATGCCTAAGAAACAAAGAAATTTATCCTGAAGTTTTGACTCATATCAAATAATCCAACCCACTTTCCCCATGAAACTATTATGCACTCTTCATATCATTAGCGAGAAAAATTCAAAAATAGCCAGATTTACGGTGGCCATTCAAAATAGCCATAGTCTCAAATGTAATTGAAATTTAGCCACTTTTCATGTAAAGATAAATCCGAACGAAAATACTGTTCAAAATCCGAAAAATATTCCAGCATAATATACTGGAGTTCCAGTATAATATACTGGTCCCGCATAATATGCTGGAAGTTCATATACAGGTGATTCAATCTCCATTATATTATGCTGGAACTTTCCGCGTGTTGGAGTTCCAGCATAATATGCTGGAAGTTTATACACAGATGCACCGATCTCCAGTATATCATGCTGGACCGGTCCCTGTTGCAGCAAAATAGTGCCTATTTTTCAATAACTTTACAAATGCTGATTATTTTCGAATGACCAATCCGAAAACTGGCTAGCCCATTCTATTTTTACAGGTGAAAAGGTCTTGGTTGAAAACTTCACTGTTCAAATAATAATTAAAAACTTTTTCTTTATTTAACGGACAGTGCATGGAATAACTCGTCAGCCAATTTCTCGTCTCTTTCAACACTGGTTAAAAAAAATCCCTTCTTCCGCATATCAAATGAGATGCGGCAAAAAGTTTGGATGAATATTCTAAAGCTAAAAGAAAACAAAAAGGTAACAATGTTTCTTCAGACCAAGTAAGCTTTCTTTTTCAGAGAGGCAGTAATTTTCACTTATTAGCTGTAATAACTTGTAGATTTCCATGCGCAGCGTAAATCTCAAAGTTCGTGTTAATCTCTCTTTGGACAACTTCAAAATTATCACAATAAATGACATTTTGCATAAACTACATTAGATAAATGTTTCTTGGAAGTTGGCTAATTGATCAAACTTAAAACGCAGAATAGCCTAAATGGCATTTATACTTGTGCCACTTTGTCATCCCGGTCCCCAAACTTGATGAAGTTTCATCTAGACACCTCTACTCGTTCAAAAGTAATATTTTAAACCCCTCTGACCATTGACCAAGTCTATGTGGCAACTTAATCGCTGAACTGGACAAAATCGTGTATTTCACGCATATAAGGAGCGTGAACGTAAAAAATTTATGATTAAAATAAGGAAAAAAGAAAAAGAAAAATTCAAAAAAATCAAAATTAGAAAAGAAAGAAAAAGGCCAAAATAAG